GGGTGATTAGTTAATTTATATATGATTGTTGTCACTGTTATCTCCATAGATTATGATATCCTTGTTAAGGTCATGATATTGCGAGGATTCCTCTAGTTCCTACATAACGAACACTAGTTCCCAAGAAGGAATTCCTAACCTATCATTTTAGTGACAGTTGAGATATTTGAACGTTTAATTTTTTGCATAAATATAATAAGCTCTCAACCTCAAAATTTAAGCCGAAAGGTCAAATGGTTAAATCCATTAAGGGCAATGATTATAGATCTAATGATAAACTTGAAAAAGAGCTATTTAGCTCATGAAAGGGGTAATTCTGAGTTTCTGACATTAATAAAAAAAAAAAATTAAACACCTACCATTTAATTACCTATCCCATAAGCTCTTGCTGTTTCAGCCTTCAAATAACCTAAACGTTCATTTTATATTATATTGTTTTATTTATGGGATCTCAAAGCTTTTCTTCCCCAAATTTTGGTATATATACCCGCTGTAACATTTGCAGAAGCAGTTTATGGTTTGAGCTTTTAGAGAAGCACTTTTGAAAAAAAAAAACAATTGAGTGTTTGGCTGAAAAACTATTAGAAGTGCTTTTCATATTAGAGTTTATGTTAAATTACTAAAAAGGATTTCTAATATAAAATATGAATAAAATTTTTAAAAACTGAAAGTAGTCAAAATGGATCTTGTTAGACTTTTTTTATATTAAATAGTATTATTTTCTAATTTATTTTATTTTTAAAATGATAAAAATGAAAGATAAATTATATTTTTTGAAATAAAATAAAAATATGGTAAGAATAATCTTGTATTTTCAAAACAGCTTTTCACAGAAGTTCCAAAGCGGAGTTTATGCTTTTATGTTATAGAAAAGCACTTTTCAATTTTTCAAAAACGGAACTTTTAGAGGTTTTTGGCCTTGCTTCAGTTTTTTTAAACAAAAAAGCACTTCTAAAATCCGAACCAAACATAGGCAGCAGAAACTAATTATTGCTATTCTATTAAGCACATCTATAATAGCGTTTGAATTACTATTTAACATTTCAGTGGTATGGTTAGACAATTTTATTTTTGTATATATTTATTTCGAGGTAACAATACAAATAATACAACCTTCTCAGAAAGCAAAGCAGAGGTCCCCAAGATTTTTGGGCAGGAAGTCATTGAAGTTTCTTTCACTTTTCCACTTTCGTGTGCTAAACATGACAGCGTACAAAACGTAATGTGAATGCAAGAAATTGGTACTTACGTAGACTACTGTAGATGGTAATAAATCGCCCACAAACAGATCAGTCAATTAATTTAATTGGATAATACCCAAGGCTTTTTTTCTCGGTGCTTTTCGATTGTATATTGTTTATCTACTTAAACATTTTATCAAAATCTAGAAATTTAGTATCCGCCATTGGCAGGCCCCAAACGTGGTGATAAAATATATATGTGTCGAAACTGGGTCGCTCTATTAGTACGATATTATCCGCTTTGGACCAAACCCGCACGGTTTTACTCTCCAGATTCTTATACCACTTATCGTAATTGGGTAGCTAAATTTAGTATGATATTATTTGCTTTGGGCCGAGCCCGCACGATTTTAATCTTGTGTTCCTTCCCAAAAAGCCTCGTACTAATTAGACAGTTAGAGACTTATATACAAAGGTCCATTCCCTTATATTATCGATTTGGTACTTAGATTAACAATATGGCTAGCAATAGCCTGGTAGTTTCTTGCATGTACATACGTACTTTGAGTTCAACCCAATTCCAGAAGAGCATGCTCTCAATTATCGTAGCGTGTGTGACCGACCCACCCCTTCTTTCACTCCTTCCTTTCCTTTCCTATCTTCAAAAATATCTTTATGGAAAGGCAGGCATTCAAAGCGTCCCTCGATGAACAAAAGGATTCCATGAAGAAAAAGCCACATCGGTGGTGGCCATAAAGAGACGAGCCACGAAAAAAGCTTAGCTAATATTTTGCATGGAGAAGACGAACAAAACAAAGAGACGGCCAACTAGGACAGGCTATTTGGTCTGGATTTTTTGGTTTTACCCGAAATCGGACCTATAACCGGACCGAGACCGGACCGGGACCGAATAGTAAACAATCCAATACAATTTTTGGGCTTAGATTATATTTGAGGTAAAAAACTGTTCGGGACTGGATAAAGACTGGTTAAAAGAGTTCAACACCCAAAATTTAAGAGTAATTAGCATAAACGGTCACAAACATTTGCACTTAGTACAAAACTTAACCAACTCCTCACCCTTTCAGGCCTTAGGCCACTCAAATCCCCACAAACTCAATATAAATCAAGACCGAATTGGGACCGGACCAGGTCAAGACCGGATTGTATCCAATCCAATCTTTGATCCTTACATTTTCGAAAAGACTAAACTGGATCGGTCAATTTGAACCAATTTAACCGGACAGGACCGTATAACCACCCTACGGCCAACCCTTATTACGGCCGCCGGTCTTCGTTCCCTCTATAAGATAAATGTGGGAATGGAATATCCTCATTAAGAGTCATAGTTAGAATTTAGCAACCCTACGTTGCACTGCACAAGAAACACAAGGAAGGATAGGATGGCAACAAATGAGGACATTGGCATGCTTCCAAGTTATTGCTACTTTACCTAACCAGGAAAGTCTTGGATGGTCATGTTATAATTCAAAGACCATAGCTATAATAAGGGTGGTGTTCAAAATTTTCACAAGTTCTTCCCTTCTTTGTTTCCGGAATCGGGCCGGAGATAGACAAATTAATGATCGTATTTAGAGTATGAGTAGTACGGGTAGTATTGTGTTTAGTGCTGTAAATGAGCCAAGCCGCTCGCGAGCAACTCGGCGTTCGAATCGAAAAAACTCGCTCGACACTCGACTCATTGTTTAACAAGCCAGCTCGCGAGCCGACTCGTTAGTAAACGAGCCAAGCTTGAGCTAGACCATGCTCAGCTTGATAAGCTCGTGAACTAGCTTGACTCAGTCGCTTGTTGAGCTAAGCTCGCGAGCTGACTTGTTTAGAACTCGTGGAAGGATTAAGTAGTCTTTTGAACATGAAAATTATCATGTTAATAAGGATGTGTATGGAAGTTAGATGTTATTTTTAATTTCTAGTGTTCTTTTTATCATTTTTAGTTTCTAATATTCTTATTTGTACACATTTTTCAGCAAAGAATGGTTTCAAATCGAGCTCATCTTGAGCTGAGCTTGTACTCAGCTTGACAAGCTGTGTTTATGAGCATTTATCGAGCTCTATCGAGTCGAGCTTTAGCTGGATTATTTTTAATCGAGTCGAGCTCGAGCTCGAGTTGGGTGATCAAAATTCGAGCTCGAGCTGAAAATTTTATAAACGAGCCGAGCTCAAGCTGAGCAAAAACTCGACTCGAAAATTTGTGTTACACTACGAAAATTGTTATGTAATTTGATAGGGTTATATTCCTTATCAGAGTTATCGAATATAGGCATTTTCGATATTAATGTTCGGATTATTAAAGAATTATATCATTATGCCATATATAAACCATATGTGGTTCCTGTTTCCACCAAATTTTTTGATTTATCAACACGTATAAGATCATAAAGGATCAAAGTCATGATGACCAGTAACTCTTATGTTCAAATCTACTCGACTCCATTAGTAATAATTGATGTGTATTAAAACAAACTTGTTTTTTACCGTAAGAATCGGAAAAATAAACCTTATTGGTCAATAATGTAATGGTCAGTCGTCATAAGATATTGACGACGATCCATGATTGAAATAATCAACCGCGGGCCTCATAATTATGTAACAAAGCAAGTCATTCAAAACAAATTTCTATCTGTTCAAGAATTGTGAAACAATAACGAAGATCATTCCGAAAAAGTGAATAGTACAATTTATTGTAATAAAATCATAGATTAATCGTTCTACTTTTACTACTGCATGATATCGCATACCGATTTGAGTTCGGTCTCGTTTCAGTCCAACCAACTGATACGGTAGAGTTTCTCTTCCCGACCCACCAAATGAGATAATTTTGACTGGCCAATGCTTTGCCGCGACCAATTTCCATGGTCCATGAAACCGTACCGTACCAGCGGTTCAACCACGAAATACCAGTAATGGAGGCTAAACTGGTAGGCGGTATTTAACGGTACAACGGTTAACTACGGTTAAACCACGATTTTACCATAAAATACCCTATCGCTAACTTTCCCTGTACAATCTCCGGTACGGTTTCATGGACCATGCCAATTTTTACCCATCAGGCCAGGATAAATAATATCCTGCTGGGGACACAGGTGAGTTTTCGTCCCAAGTTTCCTCTCCATGATAGCCCAACAATAGCCTTCACTAGTCAACTCATGAGACTGACTTCTAGTCTCTTAAGTCTAAATTTCTACATTTGTGGGTCATCTCATCTCATCGCTATCATAATCATTTGGGAGTGTTCACACTTCAAACCACAGGTTCTCTGTCAAAGCTTTGTCCACTATCCCAACTTCGATATGGTCTTCTTGCCTTGTCTTAATTTTTCCATGTTGGGCTTATTCAACCGTCTTTGGTTGGTCCCATGATGTGTCTGTCAACTACGTTACCGATCATCAATCTTACGATTCTAGAAACACCAAAACATAGAGCAAAGCTATACGTTCTGTTTATGCCATTATTTCTCATAGAACATACAACATAGTAGACACAGAAGACCAGAAGGACAGTACACATACTGTTCTAATTAGAAGGCTCCTGGTAATTCCCTTTTCAACATGTGTACCCGAGATACCAAATCAAGTCAAATATCATCAAGATGATGTTTTGGACACTCACATGATTAACATCCAAGACCCAGTGAGACAATTTTCTGCAAGAGACTATGGTTCACTCTTCAAAGACTGGAACTTCCACGCATAGTACTGGTACATTAAGTTATTTTAGGGTTAGGTTCATGGTACTAATAGAAAACTAGACATTAGCTAAAAGAAGGGGAGGGGGAGGCCTAGACCGATGCCACAAAACTCACGCCGATAAGTGACTGTTCATCCATGATTCGAATCGAGACCATGCCAGCTCGACAGCAGCTTCATCTTCATCTGGCAATCCCATGCCCTTCCTCCTCTGGATACCATCAGGAGATCTGTTCATGAAAGCATGCGCGTTGCCTGGATAGATATGGACCTCATGTGGAACTCCAGCTGCTTTCAGCTTTTCTTCCAAGGCTTTTGCTGCCTAAGGGGAAAAAAAATTATTCAAAAACACAGTTGGACAATATTAGTGTCTTGTTCTTTCCTTAATGAGGGGAATGTACTACTCGGTTTCTGTGTATCTGTCAATTGAAATATTAGGTACATGCATCAGTTGCATATGAAGTTTTGAGACAGACGCACCAAGAAGAACTAAATAATTTGAGACAGATTTGTTGCTTCATTTTCTTCAAAGTCGACTAGAGCTACCTGCCTACCTCTATATGGTAATAGAGGAGAATGACTAGCACTTAACACGGATCCCACATCAAGATCAAACAAGGACAGGTAAGCCCAAGTGATTAAAAATATACCAATGCAGGGATCAGCGAGCTGTTTAGGGGGTGAGAACAATCTAAATATTGCTGCACGGTCTCAGTAAAACACACTTCTTTTCTCACTTACAGCAGAGTAGTACTTAAACCTAGGCAGCATTGAGGAAAAATGATGAATTTTATAGTTTACTCATGCCAAGGGCTACAAAACTTTCTTATAACCAGTATAGGAGGGCTTGGAAAACAAGTCATATTAGGTCATTTCATTACATCCCCTAACTCGACCTCAATTACTGAAGTTGTTTGACTGGGTGAAAAGTGAGGAAACAAAAGGAGTTCTGACAAATATTTGTTATCTGCAACCTTAGTAGACTATTTAAAAAATATAGGGAAGTTCTAACCAATGCATTGGACCCATGTCCGTTCAATGAGCTTGTTGAGGTGCTAGAGGTGGAGCTTTGCCTTGATAAAAGTAAGGAGAATTTTTTTGAAGAGCAACAAAAGTAGCTACAGAAAGGACATGATATGAGCGCCGAGCGGAGAAACTTACTGTTACATCAGAAAAGCCAACAAAGTTATCAAGCTCCCCAAAATGCGCCTGAACAGGAGCTTTAGCTTGGGCAGGATCTGCGAGCTCCGAAGAAGGAACTCCATAGAAAGCCACAACTGCATCAACCTCAGGAGCTAAAACTGAGCTTGCAATAGACAGAGCACCACCCATGCAAAATCCAGTCACTCCAACCTATTAAGAATGATTGCACCACAGAACTTAAGATAATTATTTCACCTAATAGCAGTTGGCCTCATAAATTAAGTACAGAGCCTCGACGCTACGGGGGAAGGATGGCTTCACACAACACAAGTGATTCATTTACCACAATGCACACCAAGGACACGAATGTAGTAACAGCCTACACATATGATCAAAGTGACAAACCTTCTTTGAGCCATTGGCCTTGAGCCAATTTACTGAAGCACGGATATCCTTGACAGCACCTTGCCAGTCAAGATTGTCCATCAGATGCTGAGCCTCCGCGACATCTAAACCAACCTTTCCCGGATACAAGCTGATAAAATAATACCAAAAAAAAAAAAAAAAAAATAGAACGCCACCATGAGACTATAACATCGCATCTCACTCAGAAGAACAAGTTGAGAAGTTTGCTGAAACCACACTGCTATACTCACTCTGGTATAAGGGCCTTAAATCCAGGCTCAAGTTGGGAGATCTTGATGGCATGGTTCTTGATCTCAAAATCCACACCCCACCACTCCTGGAGCACAACGATTCCAGGAGCGTCTTCTTTGCCAACCACATAAGCATCAAAAGTCTGATGAATCAACCAACCAATCTTAGAATTAATAAGGGGCAGTATTCTCCATCACACAGACACAGACACTGGCAATGCAATGCGCTGAACGTAAAACAAGTTCACTTTCAATTGGATCAAGACTAACCGGAGTGAACTGCAGGGATATCCATGAGAAATTGAACACAACCCATAAATCATAAAATAATAAAGCCACTTCCTCTCCATTCAGAATCGCAAAATAAACCTAAGAGAAAGCGAACTCATCGTCTTCCATGAATTCAAGGTCACAACAAATAACCAGTTCCCAATTACAAATTTCCCGTACCATTATTCCATAAGAAATTCAATTGGTCAGAACAACTAATACCCATCAACACCTCCAATTCCCACACACTAAAAAAAGATCATCCCATCCCAGCATCGGAAGAGGGAAATGAAAAACACGACGGAATCAGAAGAAGAATTAGGGGATAGAGAACTGACAGTGTCTTCCCTCTGGATTTGGATTTTCTTGAAGGAATCAGCGGACGCAGCCATTGCTCGAACTAGGAAGCGAGCAGAAGAAGAGGAGAGTGATCTGAGTAGAGAGGAAGGGGAAGAGAAGAAACAGCGGGCTTTGGTTGTGGGCGCGAATATTCTGGAAGCTGCCGATGACGAGAGCGAGCGGCCGACAGCAGCAGCCAACATCATTTTGTATTTTAACTTGGCCGGAATTTGGAAACAATCTTGTTTGGTTGCGGTTCACAACCTTGGCTTCCACCGTCTTTAGTAAAGTTCTACTTAGCAAAACAACGGCGTCGTTTATAGAAAAAAAAAACAAGGCAAAACTATTGGGCCTGGCCTTTATAATGCTGGGCATTTGATGTCATTCTGAGTGTTAGGCCCGAACTAGGTAGTTAGAAATGCCAAGCCCAACAGAGTTAATAGTACATTTTTGGTAGAAAATGAAGCAAGCGCCCACAAGTAAAAAATAATCTAACGATCCTCATAAATCATAATCATCACCTTCCAAGTTAACTTGAGACCATGAACAATTCCAAGATCACCCACCGGAGGGGAACACTTCCGACGGCAAAGACTAATCTCAAAGGCAAAAACGGCTGCGCAGGAAGCTTAACAGCCAAGAGAGAGAAAGAAGAAAGAAGAGAATGTTGAAAGCAACATTGGTCCAACCACACAAGTTTAAAAACTGACACAAAACTAGCTAAACTCCCAACTACTTGTTCGTTTAACTCAGCCCCATCACTCAGGTCATCCCTAGCAACTCAAGAACACAAGAACAGCTGTAGAAAAACAAAAAGAACATAGGGGTTGTTTGGAGAAAAGGATTTAGGGCGTGGATTCATTGAATTCATAGATTTTGTAGAAAGTTATGTTTTTTTGTTGCATTTTGTATTGTGGATTTTAGCTTTAGAGATTTTAATGTAACGCCAAAGTGGTTGAAACATCTTAATTACTTGATTAGTCACTTATATAAGTAAATCAGTATACAATATTTAATTTGCAACTAAACCTCATGTTGTCCAAAGGTGAAATTGTGTTTTAATTAGGACTTTAACCATAGGTATATTGAGTGATTGCATAGGGAACAATACTTTTTATTTTCCAATTAATAAAATTACGCCGGTACCATCCGGTTTCCTCTTCTCTCCGACGAAGATTACGATTTGTATCATGGTATCAGAGCCTAACACTCATCTCCTTTCTCTTGAATCTTCGAATTCGTGATTTCTGTGAGTCTCCTTTCCCCTGGTCGAGTTTCTAGAAGAGCGGAAGTTCTCGATCCTTCATCTTCTTGTCTCGTTTCTTCAGTCTTTCAATTCTGCTGCAATCCTCTTTGATTCGTTCGATTTCTTGACAAACTCACTTTTTTTTATTACTTCTTGCTTGGATTCGATTGTGTTTCATTGGCGAAACTCGCGCGTTCAGTGCGCACTGTTTTCAAGTAAACACAAAACACAAAGTTAATCACAACCGTCAAATATCCGCCGCCGAATGTCGGCGCCGTTGATTTGATCGATCGAATAGAAACCAAGATGACCGTCAAATATCCACCGCCGGCGTCGGCGATGTTGATTTGATCGATGCACTTTTGACTTCTAATCAAACAACCGTTATTCGGTTCACCACCTCTCCAAACTACGTTCGAACGAGGGTGTTCGGCGAATAACCAGAAAATCGAACCAGGAGTGTTCTAAGTTACGTTACCTCTACTCCTATGGAGGTTCCTCTGGAGAGCTCCGCGACTACGACTACAAGCTACGACTACGACTCTGCAAAAGATTTCTCTGACAGAGCGGTTTTATGAAACTAGAGAGAAAAAGGTAAGTCTGCGACGGTGCAATTTGAGATTTTATTTTGCCGTCTTGAGCTTCTCTCTCTTCCCTATCTTTATACCCCGCTCTTGTCCCCGTAGTCGTAGTAACTGCCTTCGCGCCTTTGCCTCCCACCTTCTTCATTCCTGTCAACCGTGCGGGTAACTTCCTCCTTGTTGCGTAACTCCCACAAGTGCGAAACCACTCTGCTACGCACAACTTGGCAAAACGACATTGAGCCACCCTTGTAGTTATCCACCAGGGTTCGATGATCCAACCTGACTCGTCAAGCCAAACTACATTCATCCTTGTTCATAAAACGACGGCGTATCACAAACACCGCAACGCTGAGCTCCCAGCCTTGCAACATCGATGCACTCACAATATCAATGCCACTTTCGATGGTGACTCATAGCTTACAACATTGCCCTCTAAACAACGTAGCTCTTAGTATCCCGGCATCGTCGAATTCCCACCATTGATGCCTAGATTTATTGAATTCACGGTGTTGTTGAGTTTCTCAACACTGAACTAAAGCTCATCAACGTCGTCGAGCTCGCGACCTTGTTTTGGGCAAAACAACATCACTTTCACGGCATTGTAACTTCTTGCAACATTGTCTTTGACTAAACAATGTCGTTTCTTTCCTAGTACCGTAGTGTTGTTTTTACCTTCCACGTCAACTAAATGACACCGTCTAAAATAATTATAAAATACTAATTAATTAAACCAGCCCTCATTGTTAACTCGCCGTCAAACTCTCACCCCTCATGGTCGTTCTTAGTTAAACAACATCGTTTTCTAGTCCCGCGATGTCATTGAGCTTTGAGCTTCGCGACACTGTTTTAAATTTAACACTATCGTTTTAACTATTGCGGCATCGTTGGGCCTACTCGCGGTATCGAATTCTAGTCCGCGATGTCATTTCTTTCCTCTTGCGGCATTGTTTTAACATTAAGCGACTCCGTTTCCAACCTCGCGGTGTCGTTTTCTCCCCCAATCAGCTCCGTTTGTTTTTTCCTCTGCGACACCGTTTATTTTCAACACTGTAGTTTGCTAGTACAGCGGCACCGTTGAGCCTACTCGCAGTACTGTTTTGAATTAAACCACACCGCCTAACATGGTAAAAAGAAGCACCAACGTATTAAATTGTCCCGATATGGTTTTTAATTAATCGGCACCGCTTATCAAGGCCTCTTGCGACATCGTTTTTAAATCCACGGTACCGTTTTAATTCACCGCGATGCCACTTGTCTCCTTGTGATACCGCTTCTCCCTTTCCAACAAGGAATAACAATAATAATAATAATAATAATAATAATAATAATAATAACTCCTTTTCCAACACCAGCACCAAAACGCACAGCCCCATCTTGTTTTCTGGCGGTGTCGTTTGTCGCGGTACCGCTGAGCTTCCTTGCGTTACCGTTTTTCTGTTTCACGGTATCGTTTTAACTCTCCGCGACGCCGCTCGACTCCAAACGGCACTGTTTTTTACCCGTGGTATCGAATTAAATGCCGAGACTAATTAATGCGGCATTTAATTCTGGCCAAATTAATTTTAGGGGTCAACAAATGCCCCTACAATTTGGTTTATAAAAATTATGAAATGAACCAAATACGAAATAGTAAAACACCTAAAATACTTGATTCAAAGTGTTAACCAAAATAAATACACATGTAAAAATGGGCGATGAAATTGTTAACTGCCATTTATACAATTCTCAAGCATGGCAAAGGGTTTTTGGCCACAAAGCTTGGCCTTTCATGCAACCCTGTCGCTACCAATTGGCCCGCAACGCTGTTTTGGTCAAAAGTATCGTTGTGCCATTTTTTTTTCCACGCAACTTTGCCCATCTCTTTTTCCTTGACGTACAAGGCCGTAGTTTTACTTTGTTTCGTCTTTCGCAATGCTGCGGATCAGCCGCCTAATCATTTTTTTTTTATATTATCATTTATATCAACTAGGAGGAGTTTGCGCAGCGTTGCGGCAGGTCCAAACACACAACGCTGTTAAGAACTATCCTTTTCTACGTAAGATGGAACTTCCATCAGCGTTGTTGTACCATAGCTACACAAATTGGTCTTGGCTGAAATTGGCCCGTCCTGACAATGCTGTTTTCCTTCTAAACAGCTCTGATTTTTTTTTTTGTTTTTGTTTTGTTGCTCTGCAACGTTGGTAACCTCTTCTTTGTTTTGCAACTACGTTGGTTTTCCTAGCCATTGCTGAAAAGGAAAAGCCAATGTTTGCTTTGCCTTGCAACATTGTAGCGACAAGCAACCTTGTTTTGGCTCTCCCGTTTCTAGAAAATTCATCATTGGCCAAACTGAATTGGCTTTCACTTTCAACGTTGCTTTCCTCCCTTCCAATTACTACAACGTTGCAGCAGCAACTGTCTATAACGTTGCTCCTTCATAAATCTCATGCACTCTCTCCGAACATGAGAGTTGACAGGAGACCAGGGCAATTAAAACGACAGCGTAGAGCCAACAGACAGCCCTGTCCCAAAAACACAGTTCCTCAATGCTGTTGGGGCTTAGCCACCCTGTTTATTCTGCTCGCAACGCTGCAGATCAACGGCCTAAAATCTTATATATATATTTCTATTAATTAATTAATAATTTTTTTTTATACTTGGCCACCAACGTCGCGGCAAACACAACCAGAGCTGTTTGGATCCTGAACTTGCCAGCAACATTGTTTGGACAAAAAGTCTCGACTAAAGGTCTCCAGACCCTCTCAATCTGAGTCTCTAGCGGGCGACTAACCTCCACAAGAGTAAACAGATTGAGGCCCTAACGAACCAAACCTCCACTACCGAAGTAAATTCGGTACAGAATAGTGAATTGGCTCCTCGACTAAAGTCGCCAATTCACTACCTTCAATTAAGGGTGCTCTATTAACCTAGGCAGATATTCTCTTTCTAGGCTAAAGCAGAAATAACAGGAATTTGATCAGGATTCAAGTCATTCAATCATTCAAGCCTCAATTGAATATAATCAAATCATAAAATCTGTACTTGGGTTCATACAATCAGACCTAACATACAAATCTAGGATTCTCCATACCTAGATGAATAAGAAAACTACTCCATGGAGAGAGATGGAAAATCTAGCTCAGATGCGGAAACCATACTGTGAAGGATGATAATCTGCTTCTGGCGTTCAATCGGATCTTCTCAACCTCAAGCCGGGCTCCAATGGCGATGAAGATCAAGCTAGGGCACTTGGGAACTCTGGTTCGTCACTTTCTCTCTCTAGGAATCGCTCTGTCTCTCAAATACTCGGAACCCCCTCTCCTTTGGCTCAAATCTTCCTAAAAGGCAGACCCTGGGCAAAACACGGTCGAGGGCACGACCGTGCTTTGCTTTTGCC